GATGCATGGTTGATTCATACATGTGTACAAGATGATAGCCAACTTATGTATTTTTGATGTCATCTCCATTTTCAGACATGAAACTTACTTTTCAGAATACTAACAGATGTTTACTTTAATTGTAGGGCCCAGAATGGATATGGCCAACCGGATATTATCTCCGAGCTCGTATTATGTTCTCTCGTATACTGAGTCAACTTGATCCTAATAAATGGAATCATCTTATTGTTAAGGTGGATAAAGAATGCCAAAAAACTCTCGCCAGACTCAACGATAGATTGCTGTCGAGTCAGTGGTTTTCCCTTCCCGAGTTGACAAACGCAAATGGTGAGGTAAGCTACTAAGAAAGTGACTCTCATTTTTACTGCTGTCAGCGTTTGTGGGTGAACTAATACTGCCGGAGCAAAAGGATTTTACTGAAGTAAGACATTTCCCTCAGACGAAAAGCGTGTCAGCTATACTGTATTCCTTTACCTGGAAGAAATTACAAAAATTCAACTTTAGAAATTGTACATCTCAAATTACCTTACGGCAGTCCGTTCATTCCTTGTAATTTTGTTCAGATAATCACCTGTTTCTGGTGAGTAGTGCTAACTTCAGTATCAGGAGATACACTGTCTCACTCCAATAGAGAGGATCTGTGGAAGGTCGGCGCTCTTTGGAACGTCTGCGCGGACCCCTTCCACAGGCATGGCTGTAGTTGGATAGATACAAAAACAGCCACCTGCGAGACTCTTACGTATCCACTCAAATTGATAAACTAATTAAACATTTATGTGAGCATGACAGCAGTACTCGTCCGGTATCATATCCAGTCTGTTGTTGGAATTAATAGTGATGGCATTTATCATCCCATGAACAGTGCTTCATGTGATTTTTGCAAAGAAACTGGTTCTTATATAGAGCGTAAGCTCACGAAGTGGTTGTCTCTAGTTTAAAACGAAGCAAGGCAGCGGGACCTGATGGTATGTCCTCATAGGTGTTGAAGGATGGCAGTGATGAATTATGGCTTAAATTAAGTAAGATGTCAGCTAGTGTTTATGGAATGCGAGAATACAGTCGTGTAGATTGTTGCTCATACCAGATTCGGTAGGTCGGTCGGTTTTCGACATAGAACTTTGCACATATGTGCGGCAGTTCAAGTCGCCACACTTCACTCAGCACATAAAGCAAGAGAAGAAAGTAGGAGAAATGCATAATATAGACAGTAAACAGAGGTGTGAGATAAAGGAATAGTAATAACGAAGAACAATATAGTTTCATTGGATATCATAAGTCACAAGGAGTGGATGCATCTGCGCCATTGAGAACGACTTTGAGCCATACCAACGATTGTCTCCAGCTATTGGTTTTTACCGTCCCGAAGACCCCAACCAGGAAGTCTACACCTTCCTACGTGGCTTAGGCTAACTGTTGTGGATTTCATTGACTGGTGCCATGTTTTGGTTTGACCGCCGCTCGCTCTTTTCCAGCCTGGCCCTATATCAGCTAACATTGCCCGTCGAGGAAGGCGATGACTAGGCATACGTAACACATGTCCTAACCATCTCAGTCAATGTAATTTCATAGTCTCGTCGACTGATTTCCCCTCCTTACCTAACACTGGACGCCTAACCTGAATATTGCTCACCTTATTATACCACTTCACGCGGGAGATAGAACGCAGACACCTATGATCGAAGACAGCTAATCTTTTCATGTCTTCTGCTCTCAATGGCCAGGTCTCATAGCCATAAAGGAGGACAGAGCGAACTGTTGAGCAGTACGCACATTCTCTGATCGATAGCCAGTCGGATATCACATCTACGCCAGAGACGGTGTAAACTGTTATATGCGAAACGAGCCTTCTGTATCCGTGCTGAGATTTCGCCAGCGATCAACCCGTTGGGGCTGATGCAACTTCCTAAATAAGTGAAATGGTCAACGTGCTCTACCACTTCACTCCTTATTTCTAAGCTAGGAGTCAATGTAGTCCAGTCCTGTAGCATCATCTTACATTTGACAGGAGCGAATCTCATGCCAAACATTCGCAGATTGCAGCTCAAGGTGTTCAGAAGACTGCATTTTGACAGCGTCCTCGCCTAGAAGGACTATATGGTTTGTATATTCTAAGTCAACGAGATTATTCCCTGGCAACAAGTCAATCCCTGAGTCGCTGAAGTGAGTTAGGGTTAAGTCTATTAGTACATCTACGATGAAGTTGAATAGAAATGGGGATAATGGGCATCTTTGACGGACACCACTAGTTGTCACCACTTCAGATGACAACTCGCCGTAAGCTCTCACCTGTCTAACTATGTGAGTTCAAATAGATTGAGTGCCCTGATCAGTGCAATGTATTTTCTCGGTTTTCCTTCTACAGCCAAGTATCGCCAGAGTACAACTCCATAATGGTTAAGATTTTATTTTGATAAATCACACAGTGCTGTACAGTTAACCATTATGGAGTTATACTCTACCACAGTGCCCAAGTTTTATACTTATAGCGCCAGAGTACCTTCGGTCGACAGAATCGAATGCCGCCTTTAGGTCAAGAAATATAACGATTGTTGGACGCCGGTAAGAATGCCTATGTTCCAGAATCTGTCGAAGGATGATGTAAGGTATTTGGCTCTGTCCCATTCGACACATCGGATCTGTAGTTAGAGATTCTTGATAATTCAGTTTGCGTTTTGGTCCATGTCTTGTCTTCATCTTATTGTATTTCTTTGCTTTTATAATCTACTTGGTATAAAGATATGAAGCATGATAAGGTGGAGCACTAAACAGTTATTAGTGGTGGATAAGTCGATATCTCTGTCTGTTTGTCAAACAAACGAGCAACAGAGAGACTGAATCAGTTAATGTAGGAAAACCCGGCTGAATCTTCTTTTCTCTTAACAACTGATTGTATTTTGAAACTGTTGTAATCCTCGAAAATATTATCTGTGTACAGTGCACTCGGTGGGTGGTTATGGTGACAGTCTGTTGCACTAAATGAATAACTGGGAAATGGTAGGGTTTCTACAGTGTGTTACTTTTTGAGCAGCTAAAGCAAAATTTTTATTGTTAGGATCACACTACATCTAGTTGGCTGCTAATGCATTTAACCTGCAAAACGCTTATAATCCTGATTGACGTTCATTCTTTTCTATTACCTAACAAAAGCTACTCTGACCACTATAAAACGGATTTTTTCCCTCTCTCTCTTCACTTTTCAGGTATGCAAAGACAGTTGTGAAGCCCAAGCATGGAGTGTCGGCTGTATCCTAGAGGCTATTTACGATCTTGTCTTCGTGGATAGCAAATAATCCCTGTTAATTTTCAAAACTAACTTTAGTACTATTATCATTATTATTATTATATTATTATTTCAACAGTAGTTTAATATTCTCTAATCAGAAATGATTACACCCTTATTTTTAAATTATCATTATGTGCATGAATTTTATCTTGATATTTCTAACTTTACCAGATTTTCTTGTTGCTTTTGTTTTTTTCCTTGCAATCCGTGGCCTGCTAGTCATTTATTATTATTATTTCTAATAATTATAGTGCTTTCATCACAATGTAAATTTGTAGACAAATATAGAATTATTTAACTTTATTACACTCCCTAATATATAATATGATGCTGAAATGCTTTCCGTGTGTTTTTTTAAAAAATTTTTATATCCTTCACGTTCCCCAGTGGAACATAAGGCTTCAAGCTAGTGGCTTGAAGTTTCTGTAGCAGTGTTTATTTTAAAGGATGGGTTTGCTAGCCTCATGCCCAACCTTTCCTCTTCACCAGCATCATTTCTGGCTTAGCGAGGTAAAGGAGTGAGTCGGCCGGGGATCGAACCCCGGACCATGTGCATGGTCGGCGAGCATCCTAACCACTATGCCACCGACGCACAGTCATTTATCTGTGTTTAAAATTGCTTTATGTATAAAAAGTTTAACCAATGATGACGGGTTTTTGGATTAAACACTAATAATAGTGTTAAGTGTCTGTAATAACGATGATTATAATGATGAGGGAGGTAATGATAATAAGGTTTATGCAGGTGGCGATAAGAATAACGAAGATATTGGTAGACAATACAATGAATAGATTAGGTCAAAACTTAAAAATTACGTAGTACTAAAAGTGAGGTGGACAGACAATCAGAGTTAAAATAAATATCATGAAAATACGACGGAAACGGAAGATAAGAAAGGGTTGGAGGGTTTTAATTAGAACCCAAGGTAGAACAAAACTTCATTTTTATGCGAAAACTGGGATTGTTCTCTCGAATCCGCGTATCTTCGGCTGTGTGTGAAAGGCGAGTTCGAAAGGTTCTATGAAATGCAATAGATAACTTTGGAGGCACTTCTTCTGTCCACTTGGTGATCGCTATTCATCAAATGAGGCAAAATAGAACTTTTAATAGGTTTTATTTGACCTCCTCCGAACCATGAAGGAAGATGCTCCGTAATACGCATTTTTACAATATTTATTTAAACTCTGATTATCTGTCCTCCACTTCACCTTTAGTGTTAAGTAACTTTTAAGATTTGACCTAATTTATTTATTGAATTGTCTACATATTTGTTATGAAATCAAAACCTGACATGAAAAATAAGAATAATGCAAGTCCAGTGCTGGAATTATTATAGCAATATTGTTGGTCATCGGTGTTGTTGAGTGATAAACGGACAGTTACGTGGGCATTACTCATGGTGACTGTAGTGAAATGATGATCCGGTAGACCGTCGGGTGAGAAATCTGCTGGCTGTTGTTTCGAATGCTACAGCGATCCATTTTCACTCACTATCCATTAGTAGTAAAAACTTGTTCTGTATACAATCATTATTTCTGCTATACTTCGGCACAATCTAAACAAATTAGGTCCCAGTGTCATTAAGCTTTCCGCCAAATTATAAACATAAATATAATATAGTGATAAACTCAACATTTATTTTCTAAGCAGATTTGGTGGAAAAATGTATTGCATGCTTTCTATAATAATAAGAATAGCACAGACACTGCTGATAAAGGCAACATTCTTGATGTGTTTAATGAAAACGATACAAAAATTAACACAAAAAGACCTGAAGGAATGACAAGTACAAATTTCAATTATTCAATACATAGAATTGTTGCCTGTTGACGCCAGATGTAAATATCTTTAAATTTCTTTAGAACTTTTCTTCGATATTGAAAATCTACTAATTTTATGCAGTGAACCTGATGTTTGGCTTTTGCGTAAAACTGGAACTGATGGATAAGACTGTTCACTTTCAATGTTATGCGATGTACTACTTCTAAGTAGAGTAGGAGTTTGATGACTGGCAGTAGACGAAGTGGAAGAAATAGAAGAATATTTGAAAGTCAGCCAACGCATTACTTGTCTTGGAGATAAGGCTTTCATTGTACGCACCGAGGGGAATCTTCTAATTCGAATTTGAGATGATTCTATACTTTGAACAAAATCATCTACATCATTGTCTTGACCTGAACTGTGTCTCCGTATACAGGAAATTTGTTGTGTTGTTTTTGACCGTAATATTTGTGTTAATGTCGATTTTTTAGAAGTTGCTGGGGTTCCTTGAATATCCATAATAACCAGTGGACTTTCAAGTTCTTCAGAAGGCCTTGATAAGGTGATCATGGTTGGACCTGATGTAGGTCTTTTTTGTTGGTTGGCATTTTGGATTGAAGTGATCCACTTTGACATAATCTCAGAATTCGGAGCCTAGTTTCAAGAGTAAAACGAATACATATATACAACATTTACAGATAATTGATTATGTATAATCATCACCTAATAAAATATTCGATGGTCATCTTAGCTTAATGCTAACTTTACCCTGCATACCCTGTGAAGACATAAAATACATAACTCCAGACTATCAGCTTCAGTTGTAAGGTCATTATTGGTTTGTCTGTAGATTGCAAGGCTGTAGCTATTGAAATTCGTGGCACGAATTCAATGTTTTGTAATGTACTCGACTGTTATTCAACTTCAACTTATTTTCTATTTACCACCATTCGCTGTATTACCAAATATCAGCAGAAAATACTTTTCTATGCAAAATGTGTGCGACGCTTGAAATATGTCATAGGTCTAACTACGTAGAAAGTGCTAATCGATTTTATGTATTGCGTAACTGTTCCTCTACTGATAAAGAAGCACCTCAGTTGTCCAAACGACTTGTAGGACGATGATGTGTCATCTCAGAATACTTTGAATCAATAAGCTGACATGTGCATTTCTTTAAAAAGTCTAGAGAAAGTGAAATAATTTTTACTTACTTGAAATAGATACTGAGCGCCTGTAGAGGTAACTGTAACCCGAAAAGTGTTCGGTCGCTTTGTATAATCTAATGTCTCATTGGCGGTTAGTAGGTTTGGCCCAACCAATAATCCCATTTCTCCGCGAAATGTGTTACTCTCAGGACTGAAATGCAAATGGAAAGTCATTTTTAACTATGGTTATGTTATGTATCGATCGGTTGAAGTAGATTTTGAGGAGATGAACATCCTATAAAAACCTCGGAAGTGACCTTGAGCTGGAAGCACTTTACTGAGGGCCTTGTGATTAGAAGTCAATGATTGGGTGTTTACACAAAATTTAAAAACTGTCGCTAAAAAAATAATGAATACATTTGCAGATTTGTAGAAATAATGATGATGATAATATCCCAGCACCATTCTCCTATTCATTTAAATGAAGGCGGTGGTTGTAAACTCATCAACATTCCTGCTTAGAAACTTTACGGGTAGTAGACTTCAAACAGAACCAGAAACCGGGGCTACTGGCATTCTTCATCATAATCTAAGAACTTTAATAGGTTTCCTCGGTTTTGCACTAATGCCTCACAAGAGTGACGGTTCCAATAATTGGTTTAATAAAATAGAAATTGTTATTTATGCATTTTCACGACTAATTTCGCAATGTGTCAATGACAAATGTTGTCATCCATAAATATGAAGGCGAACAAAAGTTTTCATGAGGAATGGAATTCCTCCTAATTTTCCAAATAATTTGATTGACTACAAACAGATGTCTATAAAAGTGAAAAGTGTTTGTGCTGTTGAATGAATCAGCGTATCACGGATATTCAATCAATGCAAATGAATATTCAGCTGTATCTTCAATTGTAGACATTGGAAATGTTGATACTTAACACAGGGGAATAAATGTGTAAGCAGGGGATCAGAATATGGAAACGGAGGGTGATTACGAAGATTGTTATTATTTTTTACTCCTTTGCATTCCAAATAGGACACAGGGCTTCCAGCTGGAGCTTCGAAGTTGCACTAGCAGTGGTGTCAACATTTCATAGGTTGGAGCTGCTAACCTCACACCAAACATTTCCTTTCTTCTCGGTTTAACTACGGGCTAGGCGAGATTTGAGAGTGCGCCAATCGAAGTCGGATCATGTGCGTAGTTAGCAAACACTGAAGCATGAAGATGATCATAAAAGTGTCTAAATATTGATAGATACCATTTTTATGAACTATGCATACGGTCTACTTTCATCTTTGTTTGGCAGAACAAGTAAATAAGAGACAAAAAGGTAGAGTGAACGTTAGCTGTATTTTGACATAACTGCCATAAGTATATTAATTACCTAACTGGTGAGATCACTAAAGCCAAATGGATATGAAACTATAAAGTGGGAATTTTAAATTAAATGTCTAATCAGTTAACTTCCGGTAAACCAGTAAAGGTCAACACTGCATGTTGCTGAATTTAAAGGATTACTTACATCTATAAGACTATAATGAGAAAATAAGAAACGGTTAAGTTATATGCCTTACATCACTTTAATCGTGTAAAGTAGGTTTGATCCAGCTCAACTGTTATTCAAACAAAAATATTGTATAGCTGGTAAATGAATTAACTAGAAGACAGAAAACATTCTACTGTTACATTCCTCCGTAAATGTTTAAGGTTAGTAGGTTTGTCCAAACAGAATATATGATCACAATCAAGAATCCAGTAAGTTTAATTAGTGTGTAATACATTGCATAGACTCCTCTAAGTCAGTGCAGTAGGTTGACACATGCTTTTATTTTATGATTGTTCTTTTAAATACTTTTTGTCATTGCAAATCTATAAATACTGTTTACTAAAATAACAATGAATGTATTGGTGCAATCATCTAATTGTTATGTAGGCCAGTGGAGCATAACTAATCGTTCAGTACGCGAAGAATGATTCTCTGACAGATACATCTTGTCCTGATTAGAATTGTTTCGATCACAAAGTGGAGTAAGTGGTTATACTAATACAGTGATATCAGACTTATTTTATTAAATATTATACGTTGTGTGCAGATGATGAGGGCCAATGAAATAAAATGGATCTGTGTTATTCTGCATCAATGTTTTTTTTAATTTCTCTATCCAAACTAACTGTGTCGTGTACAGTTCATTAATATCTGTTTATTTAAAACTCCACAGTTGTTGAAATTACTTATAGTTGTCAAAGACATTCATTACGAAGCTTCATATAATAAACTCAAATGAGGTGGGCTCGCAAAATAATTTATCAGGTGAAACATATCTAAAAATAGCCGAAAAGACAGTTAAAGGCAGAGGCAAACGAGTGTAGTCACATATCCAAACGTCTAAGAAGAGTGAGAAAGTGTGGTAGAATGTATTTTCATATTAGATAAGTTTATTTTAAATATCACGCAGTGATGCAGTATTAACAACTGGATGACAAGGTTTCGGGCATAAATTATTGCTCATAATCATATCAATTTTAGTCAAGCGGTTTCGCAATGTGTTTCACATATATTTTCTCTCTTTCTGTATTTCCAACTTGTTGTTTGTTGCCACTTTTCATATCTCCGGTATAGGCGTCGCGTCATTCCGATTGCACGTGTGCGGTGTTGAATCGATAAATAAAACTTCAGTGATTAACCTCTCTCTCTCCACCTAACTATGTTAATTTTTAGTATTTTTATCTTACCCCACCCTCTTGTGTGATTACATGCAAGTGAATGCAATGCAATTATTGGGATTTTTCGAGGTTATTTACCCTAGCAGGATCAGTTATTCTAGGTCTAGCTAAATTTTTATGTTCCAATAATCTAGCGGACCCCGATCTACTAGTTCGACCTATGTAATTGACCTCACTCACAGTCAGAATTACATGGTATTTGGTAAATCATATTATTTTTCTTAATTGAGATTATTGGGTCCTTAAGCCGACAAAGTTAATCTCTGTGAAAGTTGGTTGGTTGGTTTAAATGCCACCCCAATTCCAGAGTCATCAAGAATTCTACTTAATTCCTCTAATGTCCCTTTTGGATGGGATGAATTAAAGTCTAAGTATTTATTAAAGTGTGTTGGTTTCCTATAAATGCTAGTATCTAACCCACCATCTTCTTTTCGTTTTATTCTACAGTCTAGCATGGCCAACTCACCCTGTTCGTTTTTAACTCAGAAGTGAATTGAATTCTGGCCAACTGTTGAGTTTAAATGTGTGAAGAAATGAGGGATATGTTCTGATTTCAACACAGTGAATGTGTCATCCACATATCTCCACCGTAACCTAGGAGCAGGATTAAACGTTCTAACAGCCTTATGTTCCCACCTATCCATAAATATGTCTGCTACAGTTGGGCATATTGGTGGTCCCATTACCACCCCATTCGTTTGTTTATATAGTTTATTTTGAAATTTGAATACAGTGGAGGTGAGACATAACTGAACACCTAATATTAATTCATCAACCGAGAGCTTAGTCCTACTTCTGAGTTCCGGATCCATATTGAGTTCATTCCTAACTACCTCCAGAGTTGTATTAATGGGAACATTAGTATACAAACTGGTTATGTTAAAACTAATCATTTTTTCATCTTTTTCCATTTGAATTCCCTCTAGTTTCTGTTTCATTATATATGAATTAGTTAGCCTAGAATTTGACCTACATCTAATGGGGCATAACACTGATACTAAATATTTAGATAACTCGTGCGTCCGACGTACACCATCCAGTTGTTAATACTGCATCACTGAGTGATATTTAAAATAAACTTATCTAATATGGAAAAAAATGAGAAAGGATTTTTGAAGGCATGACATTCAATTTATACAATATTTATTGACTTATAAATTAAAACAATTACCATTTAGCTCTTTATCACCGCTGTTCCTAAAGAGGTACAAAGATATTCAGACTAATTAGAGGATTTTCGAAGTTACGCATCACCAAACAATGTACTGAGAAAACCTTGAAGTTTTTAAGAACAATTTCCCACAAAAGAAGTACTATGGAATTATCGCTGACCTGGGTAAATCTAGTGGTAACTGATATCCAAACGCAAGTAGGAAAAATAGAATCAATTCTCATGTAAAAACTACAGTGACGAAGCAGACAAGAACCCAGAAAATTAGACGAACAAAAGGCTTCGATCTAAGCTTAAAGTAAAAACTGAAGGTTGGTGAACTAAAAATGTGGTTAGTTTTGCGACCCAACAACAAAACCTTAGCGTAACTGGTTAAAAAAGAGAAAGATAATCAATACAATGATCAAAATTCATTGAGACTCAATCTACAACAAGAGACCAATCAAGACTGCAACTATTTAGACATGTTCATTCTATGCAGTCAAATGAAAATGTCTTGTAATCTCATAAAAAAATTGAACCGAATTCTGTTATTGTTGAAACAGCATTGAAGGTGCCAAGTGAACTGATGTTAAAATCCCAACGGCAACAAGAATACCAGAAAACATGTATTAATAATACAAAATATCAATAAAATAGAAACACAGAACATACTTTGACTCATTGTAATCTGACTTCGTCTTGTAAGCCAATAATTGTCTCACCGACATATTCAACACCACGTATAGTTCATACCAGGAACGATCACGTGATTTACAATTATGATTAATCCATTCATGCTTTCGCATTAAATAATCACCGAATGTTTCTATGCAGCCGGAATGAAAAATAAAAAACAAAGAGTAATTGATTTAAGATGCTCATTAAAAATTTCAAAAGATTGATTATTGAACAAAGAATATTCTTTTCGATAACTTCATCATCAAATTCTACAGTTTAGTATCCATAATAATGGGAAAATGACTGTTATTGACAATATTAGTGGTTTTTAAAGAGTAACATAGAATCATTCAGATCAGAATTCCAAAAGTTGTTGGCATTTAGACTGTTGATAGATTATTGTGAATAACTTTTGGAATTCTGATCTGAATGATTCGATGTTATTCTTATTATTATTATCATTGTTCCCTTTAATTCCTAGAGGAACATAGGGCTTCAGCCGTGCGTCTCCATTGCGTTCGGTTCTCTGCTAGAGTCTTCACCTGGCTCCAAGTCTGCCCACACGTTTCCATCTCCTCTTCACATAACCTCCTCCAAGTTACCCTCGCACTGACGACCAACTCGTCGCTTCCCTTTCGGGTTCCACTCGAGCAATGGCTTGTCTAGTGATGTCACTTGATGGTTTCCTCAGAGTATGGCTAATCCATCTCCATTTCTTCCTGTCTATTTGTTTCACAATCGGTTCGTGGTTGGTTCGCTCCCAGAGATCTCTGTTACTGATCTTTTCTGGCCATCTGATCTTGAGTATTGAGCGAAGACAACTAGCTGTTGATGAAGGTCTGTAGTTTGTTTGAGATGCTCTTTATGACGCACTGGCCAGGTCTCTGATCCGTATAGTAGCACTAACTTCACATTGGAGTTGAAAATCCGGATCTCATACTGCATGCTGAGTGCTGTCGACCTCCACACAGACTTGAGAGTAGTGAAAGCTTGTCTTGCTTTTCCGATTCTTGCTTTGATATCCTCGTCAGTTCCGTCCGCCTGTAAATGAAACGATGGTTTCCAGGTGGGTAAAAGAGGTTGTTTCTTCCAGGTTCCTCCCATTTATGCTGATTGTTGCCAGTTGTTGTTGTTCTTGTCCAGGAATCTTCATCACCTCTGTTTTCTCTATGTTCACCTGAAGTCCTATCTTCCCTAGATGTTTCTTCTGCTAACTTGTTGCTTTTCGCCTGCATATCTTCCAGTTTGTGGGAAATCAGACATATATCATCGGCGAAGTCCAGATCCTCCACGTTTTTGTGTGAGTTCATTTTATGCCTGTTTCCTCATTGGCCGCTGTTTGTCGCATTATCCAGTCTACTGCAATCAGGAAAATCATTGGGGATAGTAGGCAGCCTCGTCTGACTCCTGTCCTCACTTCGAAGGATACTGTAAGTTTCTCGTTGTGGATTACTTGGCATGCAGCATTGTCGTACAGCTGTTGGATGAGATGCATAATTGTCGATGGCACCCCGTAGTAGCGAAGTAGTTTTCAAATCACCTCTCGATCGACGCTGTCGAAGGCCTTTTCAAAGTCGATGAAGTTGAGTGAGATAGAGAGGTGACTGCCATTCCAAGCTTTGTTCAATGATGATCAGTAATGTGGCAATCTGACCAATGCATGACTTGTTCCTCATGAATCCAGCCTGTTCCGGTCGAAATTTTTCATCCAGGGCATGTTTGATTCTCTCCAGGATGATACAGCTTAGTACTTTGCTTGGGATGGACAGGAGCATAATTCCGCGGGTGTTATTCTTTAAAAAGCCACTAATATTGTCAACAACAGTCATTTAGTTATTTTTATGGATACTAAACTGAAGAATTTGATGATGAAGTTATCGAAGAGAAAATTCTTTATTTACTAATCAAACTTTACAAAGAATAATCCAAAACAGTTTATTCATTTCACTTCAAACACGAATAAATGAATAGCTCTTTATTTCAGCGAGCTAGTCATTCTGTGTAACTATGCCCCGTGTATAATACAATATCTTCACACCTTATTAACTTATCAGTTCAGCTGTGATCCTTATACACGCAATAGATTTACCCATATTATATGTGAGACGATGAATTCTCTAAACTGCGTCACTGTTGGCTTTGTACAAATTTCACGAATGCTGAAACCTTGACTTTGCTGATGATCTTTGCTAAATAAAATAAAAACGAATGATCGAAAGAAGAAACAGCATCATTTAATGAAGTCTGACTGCCGGTTTAAGCCAAGTAGGAAGGAGTAGGTAGTTAAATTTTTATATACTCTAGATAACTGGAAAGTGTTGGTGAAAACAGCTTAAAATCCTCCATGGTGGCGAGGATGTGTCTACTTCTTCTCACCATGAATATGCTAAAAACACTTCGGTAATCTTCAGATGGTTATTCAACCCTTTGTACACTTTAATCCTTGATGTTTCTTTTACACATACGATTTTCTGTCTTCATGTGTGCTTCTATGAAACGTGGCACCTTCTTGGAAAGTTCTACGTTGATAATTTAGTAGGTTTGACATAGAGTGTTAGACTTTATCGCTAAGTAAATCAAATACCATGTTGTATAGTCTTTTTATTTTTAGTGAAGTAATTATAAAATAAAGTTGTATTAAGTATAGTCTTACACAATGATCACAATCGCTGTAATCTGTTGTTGTGTTTAGAATATACCTACTTCACAACATGTCAAGTTATTAGGATATTCATCAGTCCCATTCATTCAGTCTCTATGATATCATATATTATGTTAACTTATCGTTAGAATACAGAATTCACAGAAGCTAGCTGATTTAACTGTTAAATCAGGAAGTCTGATGCATTTTGTTCTTTGCTTGACAGTTTATCTAATTTAATCTTGATCGGCATTTTATCTCTGTAATGAAATCGATGAGTGCAAAGAATTTTGTTCTCCTACTTAAGAATAGTTAGAGTGGTTTACTAGTTATTAGCTTTTTGTCAAAGTCTTAAGTAATCAAAGATAGAATGTTTATGATTAATAGGAAAAATGTCATGTGAACGTGTTAGATGCTGCAGTGATCAATTTTTACGTTAATGTTTGCGGAAAAATACTCAGGTTTTGTCAGTTGGTGTATCGCGATTATACTGCTTCATTCATTTGCCTGTTATTGGTGATTTCATTAATACTTCAATTACTTGTTTCTGTTTACAATCGAATTAAATAACACTTCCAAGTCGACAGAAATTCAAGAATTACTGTTTGCTCTTTGAATGTCTTCCTATTTACGATAGTTTCTTTATCTATGTGACACTGTTATTTACTGAACAACTTTTCAACACCTGTCTTGGATACCTAGAAAAGTTTACTACCGATAGGATGAACGGAAAAGAAGAGCTGGAATTTATATAGACCAAGTTTCTGAATCACTAATCATACGATTATGAAAAAATACCTGTGTCCGAACAATCCTCCTGTAAGTAATAGGGTTTCGCTGTGTGTTATATCAGATAAATAAGTTAATAATTAAGTTTAACACATATAATAATCCTCCTTGTACAATTCGCGGGATTTCATGAATCTTGTGTGTATGTACAGGCGTGTCTAATGATCACTTCCGGTGAGCTATTGTGATTTAGTTAAGAATGGATAGATTGACATCATTGTGTGATCTTACTTTGTGGCAATTTTCGAGGGCGTAGGATGAGAATTTTTCCAATTTATGACTAGAAGGATACTCAGTATTCATCCCACCTGCAGGTATGGTATGTGGTTCTGCATGCGTGATTAGAAAACGTTAATATATAAAAAGATATCGTGACTTTGACTGATGAAAAATTCTGTGTTATTTTGATAAGAAAAAATGCAATGTAAAAATTATGAATAACTTACCTATAGAAATTGATTCACTTTCCATTGCTCCATTACTGATGGCATCTAATTCAACACCGTCTTGGAAACCATCATCAGTTCTACCCATCTTCTGTCCTACATCCAAATTTTCATCTAACTCCTCATCTCTGTTCAAACCGTAATATTTTAAAAATGTTTCTAATTCATCTGTATCTGAACTGCGACTAATATTTACACAGCTTATCGGTTGATTAAGCATATTCTCTTCAATGTCAATTATTTCGAACTGTAATAAATTTATTGAAAGATATTTTTATTCTACTGTTAAACGATAACTACTTAAATATACGAACAGTAGGTCAAATGGAATCGTTAAAATATTAAAGCCACAGATAGATAAAGCACAAGAAAGAGCAACTAAGCGTTTGATTTAGACTACTTTTTCAAAGGCCCTTTTCACCAATTCAGCGCAAAATGTGTTATAGGAAGAGAATTCACATCGGTTTGTTATAATGCGATGGTGACAAAATAAACTCATAAACCACCAGGTGTAAACAACCTTCGACTTTATTTTTTGGACGGGAAACAGCTAATTACTTTCAACGTAGCTAATTGGTGAATAAGATAGAAATGAATTTCCAGCATTTTCGCAAGACGTCTTGAATTATGGTGGCAGGCACTTACGCATACTTACCGAAAAATTACATTTCGTTTGGGTGACACCACTAGGTGGGCTATGTTCGTTATTAAACAGTAAAAGTATCATTTGGTGGCTTCCACGAGTAGTTTACGATTTGATGTTTTGTGGTAAACGCTCAGCCAGTTTGGCTGTGTGATCATAAATTATACTAACAGTCAACTTTAAAGTGACTAGTTCAGTTTTCCAAAGGTATTTATGGGTTGATGGAAGTTAGTGCAAGTTGGTTGAGCCATCATTACTCATGCACTCAAAATAAACCATCGAACATTCGGGAAAAGTTATTTTGAAGTTATCCTTCAGATCTTATCTTAGTCAGGAGGAAATACAATTGAGATGACTGCAATGCCGTCATAATATATGATTTTAATGGTAATACAGAGACCCGTCATAAATGAATAATCAGTATATATGAGAAATGCTGGCGTGTAAATTGTTTCATGTGTGTTTTGTATAACCAATACCAAAGAATGCTTACATCACTGTTATTTAGTTCAGCTAAGATCCGCAGAATACTAGCAGACTATTCAGGCATGGGAAATCACATATAATTAAAAACTTAAACACAATCATTTCATTGTACTTGTCTGTAATATCTATGGTAAGCAGAATCTGAGTATGGTAAACGATGACAAGTCCAAAAGCTCATTTTCGGAACTATTCTCAGTATGTGACTGATAGAAGTGTCCATCACTAGAGTTTATGAAGTGGTAAGTTGTCAGTCTGTAGTTTCATGCTATACACCGCGGACCAAATCTGTTTACTGCAAGCTGTTTGATCTTCTGAGAATCCAAGTGAAATATTTACCACCTCCTTCTAACACAAGGTATGACCAACTTGCAATGAAATTAATAGACGTTAAGATAAAATTTTTCATCCAATAGAAAATCTGATCAATGATTGCAGTAAATTTGGTTTCTGTGAATTTATTCATTCCCTAAAGTATGATAATGTGTGTTAAAAATGAATGTTACTTGTTGAAGCGTCGTCACTCTTTACAAGCATCGCTGTGACAGCAGCCTTTTCCTAATGACGGTTCCCCTCAAAGATCTATTTAAAGTAAATAAGCCTAGTATCTGTTTTAGAAACTGAATATTGCTCAAAATAGTCAGTCAAGTAATGTTATGAATAACAAGTCCGTAGACTTCTGAAATTAATTAATTCAAATGATTATTCTCCAAGAATGTATTAAGAAAAACATGTAGGCCAAAAAATACATTAGGAACGAGCTACTGTCATCAAAAAGAAGACTATATTCACGGATAATGGATCTGAGAGAGATAACATCAGTACTTGATAGCATATTGCTCAAAATACTGAAGAAAACGCTTGAGTAGCCGGAGTTACTCCACTTCACCAGAAACTTCTTTCAGTGTTATCAATAAATTAATGTCAAATATTTCACAGTGACTAGACTATTCCATACACAATAGTATGAATGAAAAAACGGTTAGTCAGGTTTACAAAGTTGTCCCGCATGTTAGTTAACAACTGATGTGCAAAATTTTGGCTCCTGAGAAGTTAAACCCAAAAGATGAGGCATTATCACAAATAACAAAAATTATGTAGTTTTACAATTCTAGTGACGACTAGATTTCCAAATTTTACCAGTTCGTGGTAAAAATTTAGCGCAACCACCAGCCAGTGTCACAAGTGAGCAAACGTCTTCCTGCCAGACTTGGTGGACCTCGGTTGTTACGACTTCTTACTAGAAACCCAGGTAACTTCCAGCCAGTCGCTAGTGAGCATCAGATTATTTATTGAATGTTGGTTTGTAGGGATTTGATTAGTTATAGGATTGGCCGCCGGCTGACATCAGTTAGGGACCGTTGGAAAGCTCAATAGTAATGGTAGTTTGTTTTTCATCCCAGTTTGCGACTCCTCAATATTACGCACCCACTGGAGATCAAACCAAGGACCTTCCGATTATAAGACGAGCTCGTAGACCATTCAGCCACTAGAACCCGACATGACCTGGATTTCTAGTGAGAAGTCGTAACAAAAGGCGTCCAACAAGTCAGGCAAGAGGACAGTTATTCACCTGTGACACTGGCTGGTGGCTGCGCTAAATATTTTTCACGGATGGGCAGAAGTTGGGACTACTGAGTTGGGTCCTAGTGGGTTAATGGTCTAAGAGCTCACCTCGCGACCGGAATACCGCGTCTTCGAAACCCTGTGGATGCGTACTGATGAAGAGTCCCAAGCTAGAATGAAACAGCTGGCCAGTACTCCCAGACTTTCCAATGCTGCTCTACCTGATGTCAGCTCGTGATCCACTCTGTAACCAATCAAATGGCTGCAAACCAACACTTGACAACTAGATTCATCAAACAATTCCTATGGGTACATGGGATCAGTGAAATATTTCTCTCCTGTCACAGATGTACTATGCCAACAATTCACAAAGCCAGTCTACTCTGAGATACTTCACCACACTTTCCTAAAGATGGTCAAAATATTCAAGTTAATTATACCACTTGTTGGTTAGGCCGAGGTTACACAAACCAGGCTAGGTCCTTCAGAATCGGGTAAATCAGCAGATTAAGTGATGTGTTACATTCAGATAGTAAAAAAATATTCTAAGGGTGTAAACAAACCTTTGTGAGTTGTTTCACTTTTTCGTATCTTTCTCTTTGTGGTAGTAAATTTCGCTCGAGTATTTCAAGTCGATCAATCAAAGTTAGTGTCTCTTTGATAGAATCTCCTGTTTCTGAAGTTTCTACCTCTGATGAATGAAGCGATAACCAAATCTCCAATGAATCTGCAACACTTTAAACAACAGAAGAGAATTTGAGTATTGTGTTAATTTCTTTATAGTGAGTAAGAGGAAAATTCCGGGTAAACGTTAGGATCCAAAGTAAGATCTAGCCAAATGAATCTGTTTCTTCTAAAAAAAATTGTTTACCTTATTGTGATAATGGTCATGCAAATGGTGTTTGAATGAACTTCAAGTTGGGGTAAAGATATCCATTGAAAGACTCAACATACCAAAATAAAACTGATCAAAACAATCAGATAGAATAAGAAATAAATCTCAGGAATAAGCATTATCTCAAAAAAAGCATAGACAAAGGAAAAAGAAGTGTGGTTTTTGAGACAACTTAACAAGATTCATCAGTAGTGTCAGTTTAACTGATAAATACTCACACTGATGTAGAATGTACGCATTATTTTCTAAAAAAAATGCATATGGTGTATTAGTCAGCAGGATGTTCATTCATTTTCTCAATGAATTTCAGCGTACATCATCAAATTTAACATTTAACTATGGGATTTTGATGCATACGGGTAGAACTCCAACAGATGAATAATTAATGAGAACAAAACACGTAGATCAGCGAAGAGTCTCTTTTCGGCGAATTCATTTTCTTAGCTGTACAATCGCAAAAGTATATGTGTTATTTTGTATGTATGTGTACAATAAGTTTATCAAACAAAAATACAATTGGTTATAGTTATTTAAACTAAACAGGTGAAGATTGGTAATTGGAGTTACGTAATACAAAATCAGTCAAGAAAATTAGGTGTTAGTGAAATTAGGGTAGTAACAAAGGTGATGAGTCGTCACAAACAGTTGTTAAAAAAAGTTATGTAATAATATGAATAGTTTGATGAGTGAGTTTTACTCAAGATGCACATAGGAACAAAGTAGATAATAAGAAATTACGTAAGAGTTCTAAATGAATACAAGAATTATAAGCAATTAAAGAACAGGCAAAGAAACAAAATTAAGTCATCAAAATCAAAAAATCAAATCAAAAAGGTTGTTACCAAGACAGTAGAAGTGGTTGAGTAATCCTCTTTTGTATGCACAGCTCCGGTTTTTCTATATGAATGGCCAGAGCTTCAGCAATACAAAGAAGGCGAAACCGTATTGCCTTTGATAGGTTGTTCTTGACTCTGTAGATTACTTTGAAGGAGGCGTTTGTTGAAATGGAATGATCAGTGTTAACCGGATGTTCAATTATCGCACTCCTTATTGCACCACTATTGCCTTTTCGCAACCATACTGGATAGTGTTCTTGAATCCTCTTGGACAGGGTGCGCATCTAACGACCAATGTACCTGGCTCCACAGCAGCAGGTGAACTGATATATGCACACAGAAGTGGTCAGATGCGGGATCTTGTCCTTGAGGCTTCTGCAGATCAGTGGGCGACTGGAGAACACTATTCTTAGCATGGCTGCAAAGAATGTTCTTCTCAGAGATGATGTGATCCTTCTCTTGAGAATATCGCTTGCTAAATCTTTGAAATCCAGGTTCATGTAGAGTTTCTTTTCTGGCACAAATAGAGTTTTGTTTCTCCGAATTCTTGGTTTGATATTTTTGTCAATGAATCTCATTAGGTATCCATTTTGGATGAAAATTTCTCTTAGAATATCTAATTCTGTTTCCAGAGCGTCAGGACTGCAGATGTGCTGGATGCGGGTGGCAAGTGATTTAATTAAACTTCGCTTTTGTTGAATGGGTACCCAGCTATAGAAGCTTGTTAGTTGACCATTCCAAGTAGGTTTTCTATGGATCGATCTTCTTAGGCTCCCATTATGAACATGAACAATTCATGTAAAATAATAACTCAGGAATATATTTTAATTTCATGGGATTTAAAATTAGACAGGTTATTATGTTGGTAAGGGTGTAAAGTTATGAGGGAATTTAAACAAGAACCAATCGGAATAAGGTTAGGGAATTAATTAAATAAGTAGTTAAGAGTAGTGAGTTCAGTCATACACAGAAAAATAAACAAACAACATTTTACTGCTGTGTTCACAGGGAAATCATAGGAGCGCAAAGCAATACAGTCACATTAAGAACTTTAGGAAAGCCAGGAGAAATTTATGCTCGTATTAACCTCTTTATCGAAATGCAATTTTTTCTTTCACAACTTTTTTAGTAGTGGTTTCAGACATTTGAGTGAGATCAGGTTGGCCAAAAAGAAATTCAAAAGTACCTCTTAAATGGTATGGATGTGATGATGATGACAGAACGAGAAGAGCAGTCTTCATTCGCCATACATGGAATCACATTACAAAGCAATTGTTTGTCACAGTGGGGTACAAGTGTGTACCTTGATTCAGACAGAAGGAGGAAAGTAGAATAATTTCATCATAATGACAGTAAGTGCTCTTTATAGATCAAGTTGTATGCAGTTTGTTGCCATTATTGAAATTAATGGCACCGTTTCCACAAATGTTCCTATTCCTATTTCATGCGATCTGTCTGTTGCAATCTGTCAAGCAGATCAACGGAGACAGGTACTACACTTTCAAAATATTTCTGTGTTTATTTCACGAGGTGACATTTTTTAAAGCATTATCATATCTGCACTACTGGATGAAAATTCAGTTGAATTCCTTTACTGCAGCTAGAGAAGAAATCCTATTGTCGTAATGTAAATACCCATATGGACATTAGAAAGAAGAGAACACGAAGTTCAGCAAAGATATCTTTTCGGCGATTTCATTTTCAAAAGCTGTACAATCGCATTTAAATACATAATTTTACATGGAGACAATTCTTGTTTGGTTCTACATAATTACGAAGACGAATAAAAAGTGATAATTATTTCCAACTAGATATGGTTTTACGAGAGGCTTAGAAACAAAATTACGCAGGATTAGAACGGATATCAAGTGTGTAAAAATGAGCATGGAAACAAAATTGAAATAATAATTTTCAACTTAAAATGGAAGTTAGGAGGTGTGAATATAGATTACAAGAGCCTTAGAAACACAAAAAATTGCACAGGATTAAAATATAATTGTAAATTTTTTTTAAACGAATTATAAATGTGAACAGGAAAAGCATGGAAACAAACTTAAAATAAATGTTTTTATAACTGGAAAAAAATGGGGTGAATCGAATGAAGAATGAGGGAGTAAGAATCACACACATAGCGAACGAAAAGGGATCAAAAACAACAAAAACAAAAACAAAAAACAAAAACGAAAACGGAAGCTAAGATAAACATACCAAACTAAGTCCATGGTAGTTGTAGAGGTTGGACTAATTTCTTTTGAACACACAGCTCCGGCTTCTCGATGCATATTGCGAGGGCTTCTGCAGTACAGAGAAGTCGGAAACAAACTGCTTTCGGTAGGTTTCTGTTGACTTTGTAAATTACTTTGAAAGAATCAGTTGAGATGTTGTGGGAGGTATTGATCAGATGCTCAATAATGGCACTTCTGACTGAACCGGTGCCTCCTCTTTGCAGCCACGCTGGGTAATGTTCTCTAACACGTTTTGAAAGGACGCGCATACAACGACCTATGTACCTAGCTCCGCACGAGCAGGTGAACTGGTAAATGCACATTGAATTGGTCATATGCGAGAGTTTGTCCTTCGTGTTGTTTCGAAGTATTGGACGGTTAGAGAATGTCACTCTTAGTGTTGCTGCAGGGAAGGTCTTCTTTAAAGAGCTGGATATTCTCCTCTTCAAGATGTCGGCTGCCAAATCTTTACCGTGCTCATAAAGTAATGCTCATTTTTACACACTTGATATCCGTTCTAATCCTGCGTAATTTTGTTTCTAAGCCTCTCGTAAAACCATATCTAGTTGGAAATAATTATCACCTTTTATTCGCCGTCATAATTATGTAGAACCAAACAAGAATTGTCTCCATGTAAAATTATGTATTTAAATGCGATTGTACAGCTTTTGAAAATGAAATCGCCGAAAAGATATCTTTGCTGAACTTCGTGTTCTCTTCTTTCTAATGTAAATAGTTTAAATGATGAAATTCAAGATAACAAATGTTGCTAATTTGCTGTTCACTTGGCTTCATTCAGTACCTGTCTCTTTTTTTCTTTCTTATATTTTTCAAGAAATCGTTCTAATCTAGTCAGTTAGTAACTCTTATTTTACACTTATGAAACTCTGTTTGCATCAATCATTGAATTTTCACAATAGATTTCATTGAAAGTGAGATCAACCAGACGAACCACTGAGTAACAGTGAACATTAAACGTTTGTTTACCCCTAGCTCAGGAGGTCACAGAAATGCATATGCATTATTCCGAGGGAAATCAAGATCTGTGGGTTGCAAAGGCAGGATATTACATTTCAAGATGAATCAAGGGATGTACACCTCTTGGATTTATCAATCATGAACTTCACACTGGCTGATTCTATTAGATCAGAATTCTTTGTTACTCTCTGAGGATATAAGTACGTTTAACCGATGAGTGTTGAATAGAACGAAACGCGTTTTCTGGATCCCATTACTGGCCATCACTAACCGAATAGTGTCAGAGTTGCATAATTTAAAGTTGACTCTGAACAACGTTATCGGAGAGTATTAAGATGGAAGGCTGTATTTTCCCCATTTTAATACAAATCTGCTCTCATTTGTAAGCGACCAAATGGTCCAGATAAACGGAGGTTATATCGCATTAAACTATCAATGTGGTTTTCCTTCTCACCTCTAACATCACAACATCTGTTCACACAGCTTATGATAGGTCTGAACCGACAGTGGGGGTTTATGACACACATTACATACAATCTGACAGTCACTCCATATACGACATCTAACTACAGTAATGTACAAGATCATAGGGAATAAGAAGACAGTTGCAGTGAAGAAAATTTTCTTTTCGACAAAGTCATCATCTAGGCTGTACATTCGTGTATTTATATCAAATGGATGGGAAAGTTCCAGAATAATTTCCGGTTAAGGGTCAAATTAATCAAAATTACAATTAGAAATTAGAATGCCATAATAAACAGGTGGACGGATAAAACTCAAACAAAGTAGCATAATAACTAAGAAGATTGACATTGTGCAATTGGGGGTTATAAATGTAGAAATAACAAATAGACAGGATGTTTGGATAAAAAACTAGTGTGATGAATAATTGTTTATGCAATCAGGGATTAAATATGTGGAAATAGTAAAATGACAAAATAAACAGGAAGTGTGGATATGAAAATATGGTAGTGTAGACAGGGATTAAGAAAACTTAAAATAACATGAATAAACAGGGAGTTTAGATAAGAAAGGCGATGGGATGGTCATTACTAAAAACATTTTTACCTGTTTATGATGGCCATGGTAGGGACAGGGGTTGGACATATTTTTTTTGGATACAAAGAGTGGGTTTGAGCTTTTGTATAGCTAACGCCTCAGCTATGCCGAAATGTCTTGATTTCACTCCCTTTGATAGGTTTGATTGAATCTTGTATATTACTTTGAAGGATTTTTCGAAAGGCGCTGAATGTCCTGAGTTGACCAGATGTTCTGTCACTGAACTGTATACACGTTTTTGGTTTCCTTTTACCAGCCAGGCTGGGTAGTGTTCGCGAGTGCGTTTTCCAAGTCGGCGCATGGTACGGCCGATGTACTCAGCTCCACAAGAGCAAGTGAACTGGTATATGCACGATGAGGTGACCCAATGCGACAGCTTGTCTTTCGTGTTCTACATTTCTAACCCCCAATTGCACAATGTCAATCTTCTTACTTATTATGCTACTTTGTTTGAGTTTTATCCGTCCACCTGTTTATTATGGCATTCTAATTTCTAATTGTAATTTTGATTAATTTGACCCTTAACCGGAAATTATTCTGGAACTTTCCCATCCATTTGATATAAATACACGAATGTACAGCCTAGATGATGACTTTGTCGAAAAGAAAATTTTCTTCACTGCAACTGTCTTCTTATTCCCCATGATCAAATGTACAAGGTGTTCAAATTTCAGCACTGTTCCCAATCCGGAATTAGTTTTTGGCTAACCAAATAAATAAATCTAATGATAACTGACTATAAAACGGTGCCTTAGTAAAATTCGGCAGCTCTTCATCATAGTCACTATCGGTCAGCATCATTTCCATTTAAGTATACTTGTATCTTTTGTCTGAATTCTATAATCTCACTCATTAAATCAGTAGGAATGATGTGTCTCTTATGAATTCTTTTCACACTTAATAAGGAAGAAACTGTCTTTATTTAAGTTTTGTCCTTTTTTGTGATAAAGGAATGAGTTCTTTCTGAAAACGACAATAATCATGCCACAGAATTAGCCTTACTACAGCTTTTTAGGTCTCCTCAGGGTGCATATATACATATATTTATAATTTCTATGCACTTCTTATTTGAAATGTTATAAAATAGATGTTTTAAATTTATGATTCTTAATTTTCATGTTTATCCTTAAAACTAACCTGGCAAATTCATTTATACTAAGTTGTAATTCTAGTCTTCTGTATATCTGATACCATTTTCTGTGTAAATTATACCATGATGTTAACAGCTGGGTCATTCTTGTCTGAAGATCTTGGATGATTTCATCATTTTCATCTTCAACATGATCATCATTTTGCAGTGTCGACTGACTCAGCGAAGATACATCTGATTTTTGATCGTGCTTCTCATCAATTCGCACTGATTTTAATTGGTAATCTGGATATTCTGGTCGAATAGATGACAGTTCACTGCTGACATCTTTTTCAGTAGTAGCGTCCACAGTTAAACTGCTTGCAGTAGGTCGCTGCTTTTCCTCAGTAGAAATGTTAGATTCTTCTTCAGTTTGCATTGTACTAAGAGTAATTGGTTGTGGTTTCATTTCAACTGCCTGATAGTGCTGCTGATACTCTGATTTAAAATATTTCCCGCTATGCTGTTTGAAGGCAATGTTCAACCGTTTGCCTTCATCTAAACATGACATCACTTTATCTTGTCTTGCGTTCAATTCAGCCTGTAGCTGAAGTGTTTGACCTATAGCATATTTAATATTTTCTGTTGTGCTAAAATGAAAGATAAAATTTTCCAAACAGTGAAGTTAGTCAAAAGCAATGGAAATAATTCATAATAAAGTATTTGAAAATATATCACTTTTGTTAAACTTTACTGGTTATCGCACAGAAATAAACTGAAACGACTTTCTTTACCTTGGCATAAAGTAATGGAATCATATGTACAAGTATAACAGTAAATTGGAAATAAAATGTTATTAAATCGAATATTTTCCCTGTAAAGAACCTCTATTTCAGTACTCTGAGATATTCATCTTCTGTGATATTAATTCTCATCAGATGATTGGTTTAACTTTGACGCTGATGTAAGTCAATTTCAAGGGGAATGAAGTTGTACATTCCTCTTGGAAATGAGATGATTGTGAGCACTATTTGAAAGAACCATGACGATGTGAAGCAGTTCCTTCATGCCTTGCATAGAAACCAAATGTATCATCTTTAGCTTTCAAGAGAAAAATGCTCCCCTAACTTCATTAACAAACGTGTTACTCTGCGAGCAGTTGATTGTCATAGAAGTATCATAAGAATGAAAATACAAGTTATATTTCTTTGCTTGCCAAGGTAGAAAGAAGAAGTTTAACTCTGTGTCTAAAGTCAACTTTACTGAGAAGATAGTTGTGGTGTTAGTCGCTTTCAGCTAACATCTACAAGCAGGCGATGATATTTCGGGACATAATTCATGAAATATATAGATTTTCTAGTGCAAAAGACTAGTAGATTTTAGATGAATTGAAAGAATTTATGTTACACTGTGATTAGCTGCAATTCTTCGTTGATTGTTCAAAAAGAGTAAACATTTATTACATGTCTAAAAAGCAACAATGTCTGAAAATATCTTTTGACAGTTGTTCTATTGAAAACGAATAACCCCATCTTTTAATTTAATTTGAGAAAAATAATGGAGGAAAAAATATGAGTGTAAAATAGTTCCTCTGAATAAAAGATATATGGATGCACTGTGTAATAGATTCGGGTGTTATGTCCTAATGGATGGCGGCAATCCATGCTTGTCCAATTAACTGGCTTGAATTAGCTTCATTTTTCTCATTAATATTGAAAACTTAAGAGATATGTTGTTGGCCAGAAAATGGACGGTATCTTTATTTTCACGAATTGACTTAGATAAGTGAATTGGGAAAAAAACTCTACATCATGAAGGCAGCATAGAGGATAGTAGCATTCTGCCTACAAGTGCGAAAGATTTACCACTTCCAATAACACCATACACTGCTTTGTAGTTCGATCAAATCTAGATTATACCGGAGAAATGTCTGACACATGAGTTATTCTTTTACGTCAAAGAGAAGGTAAAATTCTTCTACACGTGACTGGCATTTGGTTATCACAATTCAAACGTCATTGCTTCGAATGCTGATTTTATATATATATATCAGTATAACAGAGAACCATAATTCAGCGTTTTTGGCTGTTTGAATTAAGAAGCGCTTATTTCGAAATCTTCAGGGAAACTTTCTACTTGGTTTTCAGTTACAATATTCATATTTTCATACTGAGTTGTTACATCTAAAATAATCTTGTAGATTGAACGATAGAAATCCACCATAAATACTCTCATTGTCAAGAATGTTTTGTACGATGAAATTGTTGATCAATTTATAATCACATCTACTGTCCACTGTAAAAAGAAATGTCGTTCATGCGCTTGTAAAAGTTAAATGCTTCAGAGTTTTGAAGCGATTGAACCCCTTAAAATGAAGATGGTTATTCAGCCTATTTGAAACTATATATTGGGCTTCATCTTCTTTAATTCCAACTGCCTAGTGGGATTTTTAATCACTAAATAGAATTTGTTTCCATTGAGATTAGTTAAAGTAGTCAACGCCAGTCATTAATTTGAAAAAAAAGTATTCATAAATTATAAATTTTAAATGGACATCCAATCCTCAACCAACGTTCTAGAAGTACAGTAATATTAACTGATGACGTTTCGAGCACAAACTATTGCTCATAATCATATCAACTTCATATGATTATGAGCAATAGTTTATGCTCGAAACGTCATCAGTTAATATTACTGTATAACACTGTGTGATTTATCAAAATAAAATCTTATCTATAATGGAGTTATGCTCTACCACAGTGCCCAAGTTTTATACTAACATCAATAACGTTCTAGAAGGTTAACTGAAGCTTTAGACTTCATTTGTATTCAAAAGTAGTGCCTAAGAAGTAAATGAATGCGATTCCATAAAGGTATACTGATATCTGAAGACTATTTAGTGCTTGTTAGGATTCAAATTTCCTTCTTGTGAGTTATGTCATCCCCCATCTCAAAATTATGATAGCAACTGGATCTATGCAGTAAAGCAGTAACAACTATAGTGTTTTAACAAGATTCCAAAATTAAATTAGCTCTTTTATTTGAGATAATCTTGAAATGAAACGAAACATCTGATAAGAATCTCTCGGAAAGAGTAAAAGAGATATTCTGAGATCAATCAACTTTCATTATATCTGTCACCTTAAATACGAAAGTATTTCTTACGTAGAGCTTACTTGTGGCCAAAATTCATGATGCTATCCATTCAAAGACATGGTAGCGCGAAGCGAAGGGCGTTGCTAAATCAAGTCTAAAAACGGTCTAAAAACTACCGTCTTAGTTCATTTTGATCTCTACTCGAAGAATATGCATCAATGGGAATGAAATAAACAGTTGATGTTTCCTCCTAAAAATCTATTTTCTTGCATTGCCTTTTATTGCCATTTTTCTTATTTTTCTCCAGTGTAATGCAAAATAACCCATTCACTCAACAACAATTTTGTTCAAGCATTCAGATATAATAGTGAAAGTAGTAAAGACAGTTTTCTGTTTGGGATGATAGAGGAGAAGAAGAAGAAGATAAACCAGATAAAGCAAGTAACAACTGCGTTATTCTTGTGTTTAATCACATCAAAGATGCCGTTATCCTGAAGTTGGTTTATACATAAGTCTAGTATTATTTTCTGAAATTATGTAAATAACTGCTTCTATGCTTGAGGGTGACATTTAGATAGAATAGCTTCAAATAAGTAGAAAATTGTTCATATACCGTAAGCATAATTGTATTCAAGGGAAGTACACTGTTTACAGAAGTAATTAGCGTAAGCGGCTGACTGACATCGATCAGCAGTATCACAGATAAATTGACATTTTCCCAAAGTCCTAATCGCTTATCTCAAAAATTGTTACAAAAGTTTGTGTTACTTATCTAAGAGCAGTTCAGAACATACGGGACACCCATTGAGATTTTCTACTCATTAAATTTAACATGATTACCATACTGCTGGCTTTCAACAGGAGAATCTAGCAACCTTATTAAACGAAGAATTTAATTTTTTAAAAACATACATATTTTGGTTCAAACTTACAGTTCAACAGATTAGCTGTAACTTCAGATTAAACATGCAATGAATACATCGTAATAAGTGTGATATAATAAAGTTACACGGTTCACATCCTCCAAAACCCGCAAAAAAATGTTATGGAATTTATTTCTTCTGTACTTAATTTTGTAGTTTGAATGGTGGAATACACAAAAGCGTAAATCTTATACGAGCTTTATTTTGCACATTATGAAAGGCGTGGATTATTTACGATGTAGGAGTCTGTATTTCTTTCTGCCTGGTAATTCAGCTTTTATTCTCTTATTTGTATATAAAAAAAGAGAATGTGCTCCATTCTTCCATTAAATATGTAAAACATTTAAAATATTCCCAATGGGAAAACTCTTATGCATAATTCATTTTCTCTGCCTAAGCAGATAGTAGTAATATTTTTTGGCTGAATTTATTTTATTTGACAAATTTATCTAATGTCATGTTCTGAATTATAAGTAATCTAGAGTAAATTGAATATTTAGGATATTGGTATTCTTTATATATATATATATATATATACTGTTTTTTCACTTAATTTTAATGGATTGATTTCTATTAATACTTAATGTAGTTTCAGCTTTATTGTAACATCATGAAGGCTCATCCACAAGGCTTTGCATACTGACTAGTCACTGTGGTGTAACCAATGACATACATATAATCCTTAGTGATGCAATGTGGTCACCAGGCAACCTCGAAAGAACCGGTGTCTCTAGAAACCTAATATAATAATAATAATTCAAAATGCATAATGATTGTGAGTGTTCAAGCAACAGGAACATTAGGGTGGACCCTAGTCAATGTCCATTCAGTGTATCCCATGGAGTCCTACAAGAGGCTAAGTATGAATTTAAATGCGACACAATGGTCACGTCTCTGACTGCAACGCTGGATAAACTAAGTTCAAATTTCAAATGAACTGTCGTCAAGATTTGACCGAATAGTTCTAAAAATTTTGATTAATTTCCCTGAAGAAGTTCGGACCAGATTGCCGAACGAAACGTTGGAATTACTCATTTCAATATCGCTGAGATATTACAAATATAATTTTTTACAAATGTCTACTTCTCACTCGGCGCCCAAATATTTTAGAACTATTCGGTCAAATCTTGACGACAGTTCATTTGAATTATTTTGCTATCGAATTAAATTAACAAAGAAACTATGTAATTGGCACAATCATCGTGTTTTCAGTCTCCGTTGTCTGGAACAAAATGCACATCCTAAATCCGTAGCTGTCGAGTCACCTGACAACTCCAGTAGGTCGAATAAAGCAGCTCAATATTCAGAAAGAAGACAATGCAATAAGTTCGACAGGGTGCTTAAACTAAACTCTAATCCTAAACACCATAATTTTGAAAATACGTCTAATCATAAAATTCTAGATACTAGCAGTTTGAACGGACATGAAGGTTTGATGTTAGCTGATGCATAGGAAATCCTGATTAAGATTAATAAATAAAAATGGATATGTATCACTAATTAATAATACTTGGTCAAATTCCTGACTGTCTATATCTTCCTATGGAGACGTTAAGAAATGTTTTACAACTGTTTACACACACACACACGCATGCACACTCTGTTTAAAGTGTTTAACAAAGGTAGATCAATATTTGTAAGTCCGAGGTCAAATTTTGATCACAGCTCATACAATTTTGTTTATTATACTTGTTAATACTTGTGTTTATGAATCATGATTGGACAAAGTTTTTAAAACAAAAGATGTGCCTTTTATATATAAAACCTCTGTTATGTTAATTTTGATTAATTTCCCTGAAGAAGTTCGGACCAGATTGCCGAACGAAACGTTGGAATTACTCATTTCAATATCGCTGAGATATTACAAATATAATTTTTTACAAAAGTTCAAATTTATTTTTTTTAATTTTTTAAAATTTTATTATAGCTTGATTCCACACAGTATTTTGGTACAAGTATGAAATTTTCAGTATGTGAGATCGGTAGCCCAAATTTAGCAGGCCGACCATAGATATCAGGTGTGCGTCGGCGGGGATCGAAACTCGGACCATGTGCATAGTCGGCGAGAGTCCTAACCGCTGTGCCACCGAGGGGATAGTAGTTTCTACGATGCTGTAAGCACATTTTGCAGACGAGCGTCAATAACCACAAGACTTGGATACAGGCATTCAGCCGATTGTTCCTGACTAGAGTGGTTATCGCGTACTTCCCTGGAGTTTGTATCTTCATGAATTTCTCTTATTCCTGTGCTAAGTTACCAGTAGTCAGATAAAAAAGCTTACATGTCATAGTAAAATATTGTTCTCATTTTAATGAGGTTATTTTCATATGAACACAGGGCATCCACAGAATTAAAGGGCCATGTTAAATACACGAAGGACGACTAATGTATATAAAACACCCACAGATGAGAATAAGGTGTTTGAGTATCTGTTAAAAATGACTCAGAGAGAACAGTAAACTACTCAGAAGTTTACACTATAAATGCTAGGAGATATAAAGTGCTTGAAAATATCCGCCAATTCCCAAGGTGCCTGTTCAAAATGTATCGGAGCCTATAGTGTTATTTATTGTGTGTTTGGATACATGCTGTTAACTACCTAAATATGTTTTGTGAGTGACTATTATGAAGGTTTTGAGTATTACTTATGTTTCACGAATCTTAAAGCAAAATAACATTTCTCCAAATTTCATTTAATTTACTCTCATATCTTATTTGGTCAATGAAATCGTCAATAGGAAAATTATATACAATTCGAAATGCTTTGCATTAGCCCCGCCCGAATATTTGAGACGAAAAAAGTAGATTATTTGAAGCGCAGCAAAATGGAATAACATGAATATTGTAAGATTCTTCCTCTACGATTTTACAATAATCAACTATGAATGTAAGATTAACAGAAAAGGAGGATGCACATAAACAACCAATCATTCAGCTGTAACCATAATGACAATAAAACCCAATTTAATAAATACAGCACTCAGATACGCTTTTGATCCAGTTGAATAATACATCCAAATTTGATATCCAACGATATAAAGCTAAAGCACGTTTTAATCGTATCCGACGTAGTTTTGTTCTTTCTTTTAGTTGATGCCAAACAGAAAGAAGATTATCTCTTGGTTGGCGTAATCGTTTAACCCATTGTCCAGAATACAACGGGAGAAGACAATCAGCTGCATTTTCCACCCATTTAACCTGTGTGTTATTTTGTTTTATTTCGGTAAAATAAAGTTAGAAAATATAAGTATTACCATTAATTAAATCTAGAACAACACATTTAGGCGAACAGTATTGTTTTCAGTTAGATCAGTCATGTATGAGTCTATGAAACCATCGGGTAATAACACTCCACATCTTTACAGTCTATCCAAAGTGCACAAACCAAGTCTTCCTCTTCGCCCAGTTTTAGATATAACTAACTTGCCATTTCCCGAAACTTTCCACGAAGATATTGTGCGACACAGAATTAGTGATGTCTTCGACTTCATTTCTAAAATATCTGAGACTAATATTAGTTATAAACATTTGTTATCCATGGATGTATCATCACTATTGACGAACGTACAATGAATGTGCATTTTGTCTTTAATAATTTATATTACCGACAAGTAGATGGAATAGCTATGGGTTCACCATTAAGCCCGATATTAGCTGACTTCTTCCTCGCAAAACTTGAAAACGGGAGAGTGAAAGACGTCATCAAGGAGTTGGATATGTATTACATTATATCCATGATGCATTTTTCTTAGTAGAAGTGAAGACATAGACGAGTTGTTGATGAAATTCAATCACATCCACCTTTCACTCACTTTTACTTGTGAAGAAGAGCAGGACAACAAACTGCATTTTATGGACGTCTTGCTAAGTGGGTGGGAAAATGAGCTGCTTGGTAGAAGCGTGTATAGAAAAAGCACATTCACAGAGCAATACACACACTTCCTTAGTTATGAGCCCATTAAATATTAAAAAATGTTGTTGAATGTCTCACGAGCAGAGCAAGAAAGATATGTACGGATGACCACTTACAAAAGGAATTTGAATATATTCATGATTATTTGACGGAAATGGAATACCCGATTAGTTTCATAAAGAAACATGAAGACATTGGACAGAAGGTCTGAAACTATGACTGCACGTAGAAAACCTCTGTTTATTAAGTTACAATTTAATGGTGACTTGTCAAGTGAGGTTTTATTTTAGAAACTTTCCAGGAGTATATAAAGAACGTTTTACTCAGCAAATTGATGTTTGTCATTCTCTAGCCGACGAATGATTAGGACGCGAACGAAGGATAAGCTAGATAGTTCGCCAAATCTATGTGCATTTATCAATTCAACTGTACTTGTAGTGACAGTTATATTGGGCGTACTACTAGACAGCTTAGCCAACTTTTTACGGAACATCGCCCATCGTGGTTCAGCTCCCTTTTATCACATTTAGTTGATAGTGGTCATGTAGTGGAGAAAACGAAAGCTTTCAAGTTAATCCGTTGCACCCCACCGAATCTTTAGACTTCGTATTCGTCTACCACACATAGCTGAGGCGATAGGCATTCGAACTATTGAGCCTAAACTATGCATTCCAAAGAAGTTCGTACAGCCATTGTACTTCCCTTGGCCTAATTAGACATAACTAACTTATGATGTCTCCACCATCCCTTATTTATATTTTCCACCCCTCTCTTATCATCCCTTAATCTTATCACATCTTCATTTAAAAATTTTTCCTTACTTCCCTTAGAATCTAGCAATATTTATCATTGTTTGACTAGTCAGCCAGTATTTGAGTAGTCTGAGTCATCAGGCTCTACGTTAACATGAGTTTACTTTGGTACACCTGCGTCCAGCTCACTCTCAAGCAGGGTGGAACGGCCATTCTACACAATTTTTGTTGGTGAAAGGTGGAATATAGTTATTAAACTCAAACATTTTATCGAAGCCATCTTACTGCTGGCCGATGTTTAATGCCCCACATTTGTGTAACTTTCTATTTAATGTCTTACTGAATGATTAATTCAGAACTTTGGTTATCAGTGCAGGTGGTATAATGCATGCATCCTTATCTTCTGTTTCAAAATCATGTTTGAATTTTTCAGGTATACTTGTTGACATCTGAGTTAGTTATCAGTACTACACGTGTCCCATTTTTCATATTTCATTTATTTACTTAAACATTTTATTTATTCCATGCTAAGTTGAAGTCGAAAATTTTTCTCACATAGGATGAAAGTTGGTTTTCTTTGAAACCATTATTGACTGCCTGAAAATAATTTACTTTATTCTTGCAGTAATTCAATTATCCACTGTAACACGCAACACTAAAATGTTTTTATCTAAGCTACAAGTAGATTATTACACCTGAAAGCAGTCATAATCGTGTGTGATTCAAGATTTACTTGCATTCACCTATCTCTATGATTATTCATAAGTGCAATGAAACAGGCCAACGTCACACTAAATACATATATGTGTCCTTTTTAAATTTTGTAAGATTTTCCTTCCTCACTACTTTCAGATGTTGAGGTCTTAGCGGTTATCATGGAAAACCTTGATTTATGTGTGCTGAAGAAACTTCTGCAAAGCCTCTTTGTACCTTGTGTATAATTTTAAGTCCAGATGTTAACAATTTTTTGTGCATTTTTCGCGTGACATTTAGTATCATCATTTTCTTAAATAACCTTCTATTCACTCTTTTCGTCCACTGCATAATTTATTGTGATACTTATCTTCATGTACTTTCATTAATGTCCAAATTTTTTCTGGATGTTTTCATATTACGTAACCCTGGTCTAAATTTAATAATATTCCCCCTCCCCTATTTGCAGTTTTGATTATTCATCACATTTCTGATGTATTCTGGTGACGTAAACAATGACAAACTTAATGTACACATATATATACAAAAATAATCTTCATGAAAAATTCCCATCCTAACATTAATATACTGAAGACCAGCGAAGAGTCTCTTTTCGGCGAATTCACTTTCATAGCTGTACAATCGCAAATAAATATGGTTGTTTTGTATGTGTGTGTACATTAAATTTGTCAAATGAAAATACAATTAGTAAGTTCAGATGAATTGGATGTTGATATAAGAGGGTAATTGCGAATATGCAGCTAAGTGAATGAATTCACCGGAAAAAGAATCTTCACTGAACTGTTTGTTCTTATTTCTGTATCTGCATGGGTGGGTATTTTACGTGAATTAAATAGAACTTCAGCACACCGTGAGCTCTTACATGATTATAGTAAACTGATTATTTCTTTTAAGAAGCCTGATCACAAAACTATGACCAGATGACATATAAATATATAATCCTCGTATGATGTTTTTCCGTAAACTTAGTTTTTAAGTTATACAGTTATGAATAAATTTTGATCAGCACGTTTGTATTTGGTCGTGTGTATTTCACGTTTGTGCTGTCAAATCTTTCACTCTGTACCTGTTAGTCGTATCATTTCGACAGTAAATTACTGCTGCATTAAAAGTAACTTAAAAGTAAGCTGAACGAAGTTGTGAAAATCTGCTGGCGAATTTCTATGGTTAATTCCGTCTAGCATCTGTTCATCTGCTGTAAACTATTATTGTGTGCTACTTTGATAAGTTTGATACACTTCCAGACAAATATTTTTGTGTAAATTTTTGTAACATTATAATTTTTATATAATCTTGATAAGATTATCTGAGACGGCTTTGGATTGACAGACTGATGTATATGTATTGGGTGGTAAATAAGTCTTTCCTCTCAACTGGGACTAACCTCTAAGAGAGAAATATGCTGCTGGTAGTGACTTCTATCTTCAGTGCTTGCAATAGAAGTTAGATTATGATCATGGATGTATTGGCGTACTTCGAGTTTTGGATAAACTATTGGTACGCTGAATTGCAACAGCATCAATATGTAGTTGTTATGTAGCTGTTATGTTTGCCTTTCATCTAAGTGAATACTGCGTAGACTTTTACAACCAATGTGACCATTATAATATGCTTACTTACCAATGGTTCCAGAGCCTGTACATCCTGTTCAAATGCGGACAAAAGAGATAGCTGTTTACAAATAACCTGAACGTCCTTGCCTATAGACTGACTCAACTGGTCTGATTTTTCCTGAACAAGTTTGAGGGTTTCCTGTAAGAGACAAAGATTGTAACAGATAAAATAGTATTTCCATAGGACGATGAAGAGATTGTTTTAATTAGGGTAGAAAAACAAATATGTGTATATGTAGATGGCAGCTGTTTGGTGTCACTCTAGCTTTGATATGCATTAATGGATGTTTCATTACCGGGCTAGGTGATACATTCGGAGTTAACTTAGACTATCACCTTACGACATTCCCCATTATCTAAACATCATGACATCAAGGTCGCTTATAAGACTGAAGTCAAATGAATGTTTCTCATTGCATCGTTATGACGTTTTGCAAAATGTCACCTACTTCGGAAAAATGACATCAGTTCTCCAGAGTGAGTCAAACTGAACACAAATAATGTGGACTACTTCTCTAAGAGTCAACAACAAGAAAATGATGTTGAACCACATTTTTCCTTTTTGTATTGAAGGTATTTACCTGTTTTACGAATAAGTAGGTAGTAAAATAATTTGAAACATAAAATAAAAACTTAGTGCATACCGTCGATATCAAACGGTAAATGATCTAAACTTAAATTATTTTGTCAAAAGAACTGACTCTGCCAGTATTCGTAGAAAATAAAATATACAAAAAAAGAGGTTAAACAAAGGACTTACTGAACATCGAGTTACAAAAACAAATCGATGTGCAGCTGTAACCAATAACTTGACTCTTGAATTGATTAATTCACGTAGATCAGCCCATGTTTCTGACAGGATATCTTGCCAAAATGCAATACGTGGTGAATCTGAATGTTTTGTGCATATTAAACACCGACACATATTCATTACTCGTTCAATACGCTCAGCAGCCAAACCAGGCGACTGTACAAACTGATCACTTATATTCATCGTATATTCTGACGATGCAATAGGATCAAGTGAACGCAGTTCAGCTTCTACAAACCTTGCAAATGATTCGCCTAAAAGATTTCCACCAAAATTCACAAATTGATTAATGATTCGTACGCATTCGTTTAAGTTACGGCCAGTGTACGTTGATGAAGCCATGAGAATTTGTTGATTAAGCCAATTCTAGTAGATTGTATAAAAATTACAAAATTTTCAAAATAATGTTATGCTTTCTACTGATGTAAAGTATCATATAAATACATTTGCATCATCAATAGTTAGAGAAGCTGTACAGAAACAGGCTTTCAGACAGTGATCAGTAATCGCTCTTGAGTAATCAAGGCTTCTAAATCACTAAGTACGGAATACTAGTGTGGTGAGAGCTGGCTGCTAGCCAAAGTTGGTAGACAGTAATTGACGTCAATGTTTATGTCCCCAATATTGGTGGTGAGAAAATGAGAACAAAGGCTTTGCGTAGGCGGATACAGTTAGCATATGGATGATTTGACACAGCTACAAAGAGATGCAAGGTTAACTTTTTACGAGAAACAACCAATCAAAAGACTGCATTTTCTACTAACAGTAATCTACAATAATGTACATTAAAATCTATAAATATGTGTTGATTTTCCTTAATAAACGATCTGTTGCCTGGCCCTTGTCTTCTGTTGTTACACTAGTGTTGGATTAAAGCTGAGAAATACGCTTCGGTGGAGACAATAAGACAGACTTGAAAGCCTCTTGGAAGAATCGGATTTCGTTCATAATTACAGAGGTAACACCAGTTCAAACTTCTAAAGTTATAAAACTTTAGTTCTCTGAAAATTAGTACAACGGTTTAACACGGCATCGGATAAAACAGTGTGAATCACTCAACTGCTTTTAGTTAGTTGATAAATGGTATCAAGGGAATATTAAAAATATTCATAATAACCAGTGAACAAAGTATTCAAATTCTCTATTAGTTTGCTAAGATTATTTAAATGTGAAACATTCACCTCGGTATTTAATAGCTACAAAAGTGACCCTCTTAGTGGGGGGGGGGTTAGAGTAGCTTTCAATCTTTCCTTCATATTTATCTCTTTACTGTTTAATAACTACTAAAATTCATAGACAATTGTGTTGGTTCATTTTATTTTTATCTGTATGATCGTAAATACTGAGAGTTTATGAAACCTTTTTTTTTTTAAATTCTGGAATCTTCTACTTATTTCACATACGATTTACTAGAATTTGAGTGGATCACTTCAGTTTTCACGTGAAGTATTCCAGTAAACTGCGAATTCAGTATTTAAGTATTGTGAGGTTTAGATTTACTTTTAGGTTGATTCAGTTACAGACAGACACTAGTCTGAAAAACCACTGGAATCCAGGGACAGCTAGACGGAGGGTAACGATGGTGTCGCATAACGAATTATAAAGTAGTGAAAACTACGGACTTTGAGATTTTGAACAAATATGCGAATAATACAGTTGTTGTATCGTAAACTAGCGGTTCTGAGATCCTTTGTGAGGTTATTATCGGGCTGTACAGTACGTTCTAAATCAAGTGCAAAGTAGGTCACTAGTTCTCATTGGCCTTAAAAGACTTTCCAAGTATATCTTTATGGATAAGCCATCATTCACAAATCTCCTTGAAACTAAGTGCTTGACCTTAATGGACAAACACGGCAGCTAAACATTTTACTTTAACTTTTCTGTGTGGAAAAATACGACTGAGAGCAACGACTTACAAAGAATTTTTTTAAAAAGTAAGTTTTCATTTAACTTATAAAATTCGTAAAATGCGTCATACATTCTGCAACAACAAAACGCATTATTTTCCCTAATTTCTATCAGCCTATACCTCCCCCGACTTCATATATGTCTGAAATTATTTTTCTTTTGAAAATGTTGCCATAATTTGTATAAAAATAAAACAATTTTAAGATTCATTATGGCGGAACAAATAAATTTCAGACTATTATTACTTTTGTCTGCAATGACTTCATGGCTAATTAACTCTAGGATATATATATGTATATATATATATATATATATATATATATAATGAATTCAATTAATTCAAAATTAATTTTAAATATGGGGTCGGTTCTCTTTTTTCTCCCTTTTTACTGTGACCTCATATTTAGGCTTCAGTTCATCAATGATTTAACAGAATTAGTTATATATACAGAAGTTATGCATACGGAAGCAATTCGATAGAGTATCGGCTTCAGTATTACAATTACTGCTGTACAAATAGTTCGACAAACTTTGATTAATATTCTGATGAATTATCGAAGATAGCAAATATGGGTACTAATTTTTCGGAATTTCACGTCAAGATTAGAAAATTTAGATGACTAGATGATCTTTGTTCTCATCATGCTCCACGTCAGTTAGTTGTGTATGCATAACAAGGGAGCTTAGAGAGATGAATTGGCGAGTAAGCTAAAAGTGACCAGATGACTTCGATAAGTAGAATTAATAGACAGAATGGATGTTGAGTAAATGTATTTATTCACAAATAATCTACAAGCTGCAGTTCACACATCTGATTTAACTTACTGACTACATAAATAAACACGGTCATTTTCATGTTGTTCCAATAGTTGACAAAACTGTGTTGCCTAAAATAGTTTTGATTGCATAAGTCTGTATCGAAGTCATGCGGTCGGGTATTATTCACTTATGGGAAATATTAGTGTGCAGTTAGTTGCTGATTTTAAATCGCAAAATTAAGTAATTATGAGCCACTGGGTGAATCCCCTTAACCTTTTTTTATTGATGTAGAAGTACTTATGTAAATGTCATCAAAGAGATAATTTCCAGAAGTTTGGTGATGACTAAATGCCTCCTCAACATATTATATTTACTTTGAACTACCTTGTATTGTACGATACTTATATAGAAGCTGATGCAAATGGCTGTACTGAACTTGAGAGCAAGTTCTTTTGGAAAAGTAATTGAAATATTTGAAGGGATATTACGGATTTAGGGTGTTTTACGGGAAGATGTTTTAGAGGGCATGCACAAAAAGATAAAATAAATCATTAAGTCGCGTAATGAGGCTGTTGTTGTCGCCTATGTACTACTGAATGCTGTCCACAGAACATAACATTCATAAGATGTTCACAAGGAATTGCAAATGGGGGGTGACCACTTTCTAGTCCTTAGTGTTTGCGCTGACTGGATTCTGTCAGTCAAGTTTTCGAGGTTATCCCTAAACAAGGTGACTAACCGTCATGGTTCCCTCTGAATTAATTTTAGATGATTGGAAGCAGCCTGCTGGAAGCCCTTAACCTAGGTTCAGTGCTTGTTGGCTCTCATCAGCTGGGTGTGTTTGCAACCTCCGAGGAGCTGATATCCTCTCGATGACATAAACCCTCATTAATCAGTTTTGCAGTACTGAAGGTTCAAAGCTTCCTGCTAATCATCCATAAGCGGATGCTTTTTAGCTCGGAAAAGTTTTTAAAAAGATGAATTTCATTGCTGATACTGTGTAATTCAATATTTTTAACTTACTGATATAATTACTATCATATAGATTAGAATTATCATCGAAAGAAACGAGAAAGCAGTAAGGCCGAAGTATGGAAATAATCCTTGTTGAATAACAAACTTTTATACACTAATCACATTATTACAGTAATTCATCATCTATGGAAACTTACCTTTAAGTCAGAAACTTCTTCATAAACAATGTTCAGTGCTAAAATTTCTTCCAGTCTTTGCCGTTTCTGTACGCATACATCTATCAGACTGGCATATTGACGATCCATAATTTGTTGAATCGACTGTATCACTTGAACACGTTTTCGTATTTGTTTAATTTGACCACGAAGTTTACGTCGACTAACTAAATTTTCGGTTGAACTACCTTTTAGCTCGCCTGTAGCTGTATGAGAAATTGTAGACTGAGAATAGTGTTTAACGCCTTGTTCTAAACTCTCATTTGTTTTTACTAATTCCAGTTGATTCTTCAGCTTTTCTTTTCTCTCTGTGAATTCGTTCAGTAGTTTCAATGACTTTTCATCTGTAATAACGAGAACAAAAAGGCGAACAGAACGTGTTAATGTTTTCGTGTAGGAAGAAAATCACAAAATCAGTACAATTATAAGAGGTAGAATCGTCACACCAGTGTATCAGGAAAAATGAAAGGATTTCACTACTTACAAATAATTTATGTACTTTTATTTGATGGACAAAGGTACAATTTTATGTTAAAGAAGAGAATTTTACCAGCGGTTTCTGAATACCAGATTGTATTAATTTTCTTTTCGAACGTTTTGGTCGGCATGATATTAAGTAATATTTTGTTGTTTTATGTGTTGCTGCTAATGTCAAAAGAAGCAGTTTATTTTTTCTGGTACCGTTTAGAAGCAATTCGGCTTGGCATTATGAAAAGCAGAAATCTTGACTTTAAGTAATCGCTTTACTTTGCTTTACACTGTTTTCTAGACTAGTCTGAAATATCAGAGATATGAATAAGACGTCTGTGGAAAGTCAGTGTCACATAACTCCATCTACTAAGACATTTTGAATTGTGAAAAATGAAGGTGTTCTTATTTAATTTGTGGTGACTAATAGCGCGTTTTGACTGATTTGGGACTGGGTGTCTGGAGATGGTGGTTTTGCCTACTAACTCTGTTCGGGTGGAAGCATGCAGGTTTACTTTATAAAAGCAGAAATAATATCTGATTTTTCTAAATACGAAATTAAAATATGACTAAGAGTAATAAGGAGATGGAAGATGTGAGGTATGAGAAAGTATCTGGCCAGTTTTTTTCTAGAACGCATCAACTGTTTTATTTTTGAGAGACATTTATAAGTATAAGATAACCTGGAAATCATGAAATAAATAAGAGCTCTTATTGTACCATAAATTTAACAGTTGTTATGGTTGAAAAATTAGTGATACTGTGTTATTTTATGATCAGATTTCAAGCACTATTTATTGCTCATAATCATGTCAAGATACTCATATGACTTTGAAATTTTTATTTATATAACTGCATTATTTCTGATCCTTCGATTATATGGGTAACTATATTCTCCATATATCTGGTATCGGTGTCGAATCATTCCAACTACATGTGTTTAGTGTAAATTCAGTGAATAAAGACTCAGTGATCAACCTTTCTCTTCCCCTAAATATATTACTTTTTAAAACTGTAGCTTTGTTCAATTTTATTTTATACCTATGTATTAGTGCATGCATTGGTGATGCTGAGTTTTTCTTCTTGTAGTCAGTCATTCTACACTTAGCTAAATTACTGCGTTCTGAAGTGTCACCAATAACAATACTGCATCAATGCATACTTTATATTTTGTGAAATTGGTCTACAGTTGGACTACACTCCACCACACTGTCCATATCCAATTTTTACATTAAAGGCGCTTATTCTACGTCTAGCATCAGTGGCACATTTTTCACTGTTAGAAGGAAAGTAGCCATAATTATTTTAAGCCTAGAATTCTGTGCAAATTTCACATCTAACATCTTATGCTCATTTCAACCAACACTTGTGTTGACAGTAGTTAGTGAAGTCACCAACTGGTGAAATTTGAATTTTCAGCATTTTGTTTTTGCTGGCCAATAGTATTTCACAAATTCTAGGTCTTTTCAAGGTACATTTAAGGGTTATTTTCTATAACTTCATACCTTAATTTCACACTGAGCAAATTTATTGATTACTATAATAATTCTAAATGATGCTTCACTACCACTCATACTAACATCCTCAGTCTTAAAGAAATGCATGTTTCCCCTGTGAATATAGCCCACAACTACATAGGCTAGAAAGCAGAAGTTATCGTACATCTTTTAAAGAGTTGGTTTGCAAGGATTAGATTTGTTTTTACGAGTTTCACCATGGATTGATATCAGTTGGAGAACTATCTAATCCTTACAAACCAACTCTTGAAAATTAATCTGATGCTCGCTAGTGACTGGATACAGGACGGAGTGTCCTGGAGTTCTAGTGAGAAGTCGTGACCAGTGGGGTCCATCCAGTCAAGTGTGAGGATGGATATCCCACCGATGACATTGGTTGGTGGTCGCGCTAAATCACGAATTGGTAGAAGTTAGAATTCATGGGTTGGCCACTGAATCAGGTCCCAGTGGCTGAATGGTATACGAGCTTGCCTTGTGATGGGAAGCTCCTGTGTTCGAACCCCAGTGGGTGTGTACTACCGATGATTTGAAAATTAGGATGAAACAGATGTCAAGTACTCTTTGATGGTTTCCAATGGTTCTCTAACTGACATCAATCCGTGGTCAAACTTGTATATCTTTTAGCCATTTCGTACACAAACGAGATTCGAACAAAATTACTCGTAAGGAGAATAACTTCCTTGGGAAATTTTTGACCTCGTCGTTAAATAATGTAGGTTGGGAATTTCGAGAAAACATTACTTTCTTCATGATAAAAAAATGCTTCATAGGTTCAAAGAAAGACATAAAGTGAGTAGAATTCAATTCCCTTGCAGTTTGGTTGGTTAGCATCCAACTCATCTTTTATTATACGTTCTCAGTTTTATTCTCTTTGGATGTGAATTTCAATCAACCAGTTGTTATCATTATTAGCTATCTGATACACTTTAATTTGTTGTCTAGGTCAAACATTTTAAATCATCCTTACCAAGAGTGTTGTACAGCATTTCGATTCTGGATTTCAACTAAAAAGATATTTATGATTAAATAAAGTATTTTACAAACATCTTCTGAGAAATATTTTGTTTTCTTTGTGTGAAAAAAATAATAATAAATAAACAGAAAATAGAGTGGAAATAAAGTTTTTTTTTACAGCATCTTGAAGACTTAATGAAAATAGATTACGCAGGGGAAAAAATAAACAGAGACTGATTCCCATGTGTCTAGTAAAAATATGACCTATAGTAAAATGTATAAATTACTGGTATTGATTCTCAACAGAACTGTATAAATATACACATAATTCCATGACCATATTTTAAAAAAGATGAGAAATATAAGCTAGACGTATGAGTTTTACGATGTTAAACAAGGCTAGTAAGACCAATGTGACACAGTAGACCAATGTCCTTGTATTTCATGTCTTCTCATCTGCTATACACAGCCGACTTCTGTGTAGCAGATCGAAACAACGGAAATACATACAGATTACTTGGTACATGAAAGAAGAGAATTAAGTGGAAAAGAGAAAGTGGACCTGATTTTAAGTACAACAAAGAGGAAAGTTCTAACAATATACCAGTACGGGTATGGCGCGTATTACTAACTAGATTTATAAGTAGTATATGGTTACACATGTAAATCTGTATACGATCTGTAGGAACATCGAATAGCGGAGAGATAAATTTTATGGCGAAGTGAAAAAAATGAACAGCGCTCATGAAATAACATGGAGAACACTAAATGAAGACAAAGAGGCGCATTACGGAAGATAAAAGTAAGACAATACCGAAGATATGTGCAAATTATGATTCTCTGAACTAGTAGACATATTTTGACTGTATCCACGTACCGAACAGCCAATAAACAATTCCGTTGCTAAACTCTCTTGTATCCTACGGCTACACACAGGAAGTCCAGTGTTCTGTTTCATGATGGTCAAAATTTCATCTAAAATTTGTGCCTTTAGCAATCCCAACTCTGAAGGAGTAGCTTGGTTAGAAAGACACGCAGATAATGCAGGTTCATACTCATATAGTATATCACCTATTGAACTAATCAAGTAATCCGTCTAACTACTTTTGAAGACGACATGTAGCAACAGACTGATGCTTTCCTTTAAGTCTTCATGCATTAACACCACCACCTATTATTAATAATACGTATAGTGTTCTAGAAAACAAAGTTTCAGTTCACTAATTCACTTACAACTACTTCTGAATTGATTACTTCATTCACATAAAAAGAGGAATTTGAATTTAAGTTAACGCAACTGGGGAATGCTAATGATACACGTGTCATAACGAGAGAGAAAAAATTTAGGGATTTTTCTATTAATTCCTTTCATACCATTAGTTATTCAAAAATCCCTAAATAGTTTTCATGAAATAGCCTCGGTTACGAAAGTGAAACTAACTAATGTGGTTTGCTGAACCACAACAAGTTAAGTATGGGACTAGATTTCAAGTCTTTCTCATTCTGTTGGCGCACTGGGAATTATCAAGTGTCGAGTGAAAACACAACACATATTAGTAATCTAGATTACGTGTAGCTGATTTTACAACTTTAATTTTGAACCATTTAGCCAAAAAATTTCTGGATCTCGTCAACAAAAGTATGCCAAGTTATACAACGCACTTCAGAGATGCTAAAAATAATGAAGCTTATTTCAGTCTCAGTATTTCGCCTCAAAATACGTATACCTGAGTATCAAAAACACCAATAAAATGTTGGTTACTATCTTTAATTAAGTAGTTATTTCACTTCATTACTAAATTAACATTTCTAAAAGCTGATAGTTCCTAAAGCACACTGTTTGGCAACAGTATCGATCATATCTTTTACTTCAGAGGAAATAAAGAGAACGACATAACAGTGAAATAATAATGCTCAGAGAGATTATTGCCTTCAATATGTGGTATGATGACAAGTTTTGAGTCCATAACATGGAGACTGCGTTAGCTAACATTAGATTGACCAGTATTATTGAATGAAAATTAAGTTATACCCAAATTAATCTGTGAAGCTTAAAGCTTAGAAATGAGATGAATTCAGTGAATATAAACAATACAACCGAAAAGAAAAGTATTCAAACCTTCAGTGTAACATTCGTTACACTACTCTCCAGTAAAGAAAGTTCAAATTAAACCTTCTTTTCTTTAATTGGTGGATATATATATATATATATATATATATATATAAAGCCTTTTTCTACTATGCAGCTTTAACTTTATGCATGAGAAGAATGAATAGAGAGGACAATTGTTTTCAATAACTTCTTCATTCTCTGCATTTACAAACGTACTACTAAAGTGTTATGCAAAAGCTTACCCTGAAGTGATCCAGCGTCAGAGCAGTAAGTACTATATAATTGTGAAGGT